TACAAACAATGGCATGACGAAGTGCATTGGAATATCTGCAAGAAATACCATTTGCCTGCAAGCAAGAACTGGTGGGACCACACAAAGTAATAGAAAATGAAGACGCTAAAATGCTCTGGGACTTCAGAATTCAAACAGACAAGCATCTGCCACACAACACCCCAGACTTAACAAGATAAAAAAGTCTGGATAGTGGACATTGTAATACCTGAAGACAGCAGAATAGAAGAGAAAGAACTGGAGAAAATCACAAAATATAAAGGCCTGCAAATAGAAGGAGAACGACTGTGGCAAAAGAAAGCAAAGATAGTACCAATAGTAATAGAGGCCTTGAGTGCAATTCCAAAACATCTGGAGCACCACTTGAACACCATCGGCATTGACAAAATCACTATCTGTAAATTGCAAAAGGCACTTTACTTCAAACAGTTTATATCCTGGGACGATACCTTTAATACTAATATTAGTAAGCAACAACATTTGCCTATCCTAGGTCCTTGAGAAGGACTCAGTAGGTGGACAAAAATGCCAAATCCAGTCTAAACATCTAGCTGACTGTGCAACCAACCATAATAATAATAAAATAAATAGTATATATATACTTCAGTTTTAAAACCTTCCTTTTTTGGTGGCAAAAGAGGTGGGAATTCTAGATAATTCATATTAGAATTAGTACTGAAGAGATGCAGAAGTTTGTTTGTTTTTTCCCAAAATTCTGACAATCTTTTCTGTGCTAAAAAAAAATGTATAAAAAATGTTATTTTTACTTTTCTTTCAGAGCCTAGCCTCAATCTTCTTACTCTAGGACAACTTCCTCAGATCCTTAATGATAGAGACATTAGAGCAAGCTCAGTGGGAGATGAAGAAAGAGGATCAACGTGTATTAACAGCTCAGCTTCTCTGAGTGGACAGGATCCTAATACCCAATTGGTCAGATTCTTGTGATTTTCTTGTTATTTTAGCAACATTTTTTCTGTAGAATTTGAGAGCAGCATCCATTTATTCTGTGGTTTCTGTCTTAGGTTTCTGTCTTGGTGTTAAAAATGAATGAATTAAATTGTGTAATAGAATCAAAAGGAGATGATATGACACTTGCTCTTCAAATTATGGAAGTATCCCCTGAACATCTAGGAAATATAAATATGTGGCACTACCTGCAGAATGCTCCCACAGGTATGTTAGTGGCCAGCAAAATTTTTAGCCACAATTTGACAGCTCTAATGCAAATGCACAGACCTGTAAAAGTAAAAACGTTCTCTGCTAGCACAATTGTGTGTCTTTGTACATAAGTGATATTGAAATAATAATCACTATTTTCTTCCTCTTACTAACAATGGGGCAAAAAAGTTGGGGAAAGACAGCAGATAATTTTTGAAATCAGACATGCTAAGAGTTAGCATTAGGTTCCTTCCAGGTTATAGGTTGAGCTGAAGAAAATAAGAGGTAGAGGAATTGCATTTGCTTGATACTGAGAAGTGCTACCAGACTACTGATTTTTTGCTACCATAAATTAACCCAGCTCATCTGCAATTTGCAGGCAAAGTGCAGGCATGATGTGGGCGCTTGCAAGGCTTGCAGAGGTGCTGGGCAGAATACACACACTGCGGAAGGAGTGGAGTGTTTAGGAGCAATATGTTTGCAGTGAGGCTTGTAAAAACGTCAGGAAGGCGTGTCTGGAGAGATGGCAGCAAACAGGCAGGGAGGCAACAGAAGAGTTGGGGAAGCAGGAGAAGAGAGTGTGCATGTGCAGGACAGCTTACTAGAGGCTGAGGAGAAGGTATAATCCAAGTCAGACAATCTGTAATCAAATACCACACAGTAGCTTGAAAAGTACCGAGGAATGAGCCAGAGACTTGGTCAGGAATGTGCCGAGGTCAAAACAAAGCAGGAGTCAAGAGCAGGAATTCATGAAGCACAAAGCCAGATGCCGAAGTTACTTCCAGAATGGAAGGCGGTCCCAGCACAGTTTAAATCCTTTCCCCGCCAGAGCATGTATAGCTGAGGCTTTCCCAGTGGTTGCCAATAATAAGGCACCAGGCTTGCTTGCAGAGTCAGCATCTTGCCTCTTGCTCACGAGATGCTTACTCTGATGGGGTGCAGGATTCTCAAGCTGTGGGGGGTTGCCCTGCTTCTTGGCACCTGTGTTGGCTAAAGAAGGATCACTGCTGGCTAAGGAGGGGCCTGAGAGAGTGTCAGTGTTGGATTCAGTGGCTGATTATTCTGCCCTTCTCTGGCAAGGAGCTGTCTTAGTGGGCCAAAGAGAAGAAAGCAAGGGCCAGGTTAAGAGGATCTGCAGGCTGGATTCAGTTTGGGCATGTTAGTGATTTCTCATCCCTATCCTAATTACTGTAACTAACTCCAGATTGCACCGCTGGTGCCAGTATAGTAAATGTCCTTTTCTCTTTTTACATGCATGTGCCTTATTTCACACATTTGTTTTTAGATTCCAGTTGTCTCATCCCCTATTTAGAATACCTAATTTTTTTTTTAAATCATCTATTGATTTCAGAAGAATATTATGTTTAGGTTTGCAATGTGAGATCTGATGTAGTGAGTAGAAAATTACATTGCTGCTGTCTCTTGAGTCTTTAGATTCTTGAAGTGCATTGTTTTAAGAACACTAGTTTCTAGCAAAGGGAACATATCCTTCTAAAAGAAAAATGTTGTGTTTACATATTCTGATCTTTGGAGGGATATAAGACAAAACAGAATGAAATACAGATAGTCCTTGCTTAACAACCCTAACTGGGACTGGCAACTCCATCACTAAGTGAAGCAGTCGTTAAGCAAAACATTACGTGACCACCCTGCTTAGTGACAGCAGTTCCAGCAGTTCCACTTGTAGTCATTAAGCGAATCACTTGCGGTCGTTAAGCAAATATCACATGAACATGACTTGTGACCTCCTGCCAGCTTCCCCATGCTTGTTGGAAGCTGGCTGGGAAGGTTGCCAATGGCGAATATGTGACCACAGGATACTGCAACTGTTGTGAATTTGCAATGGTTGCCAAGCTCCCAAATCACAATCACATGACTGTGGGGATGCTGAGATGGTCATAAGTGCAAGGACCAGTTATAAGACACTTTCTTCAGCACCATTGTAACTTCAAACAGTCACTAAATGAATATTGTTAAGCAAGTAAAAAGGTAATCCCACTTTACTGGGCCTACAAGTGACAGGGCTGTGCATGTACACATATTTTCAGAGAGCCAGGGAAAGCCTTTGAAGCAGTTGTATGAATCTTCCAAAGGACATGACTTTAATGCTTTGAAGAATGGAGCTTTTCTTGCATTCAGTTTGTAAAATTCCTTTTTTATATGCTTTGCACAGCCCTAGCAAAAGGATGGTTGGAAAAAGCTGTCCATAGAAAGAATTGAAAACTCAAAATTTAAAAGGCAGATATACTAGGAATAAAGCTAAATATCTATCTGATGAAGTATTTATTTGCTTGAAGAAAGCTGAAAGCAAGAGAAAAGGTTCCTAGGATCATGTTAAAATATTTTGGTTGTCTTTAAAAGCTATTTCTAAATCTCTATTAGGGAAACTGTTGATCCAAGGAAAATTAACAAAATTCAGTTGCATGGAGTCTTGAAAAATAATTGTGCCTTTTACTAGCTATTATAAATTACATTAGTTCAACACTAACAACAAAATATAATTATTACCGAAAATTACCCATTACAATGATTTTATTCATTCAGGAGATCCAAACACAGAGAGGCCTACAACCACTGAAACTATCCAAACCCAACCTGAGGTGTGTTTACGATATGAAATTGGACCAAGTGCTGTTGTGCACTCACCTCTGGCTGTCCAAAATGGATTTTTTCATATGCTGATCCATAGCTATGAGGCAGAACTGCTGACATCATCTCTTTCTAGCATTGGACTCTTCCTTGAGGATGAGATTGTTCCTGAAGTTATTCCCATGAAGATTGAAATTGTGGATACCAAGATTACACTGAAGGTAAGTATTTGCTCTTAGTATTAATAAAGGTTGGGAAACATAGGAAACCCCTATGGAATCCATTTCTATTTCTATGGTGTTCTGAGAAAGCTATTTTTTCCTATTTTAATTTAAAAGATTTTACAATAATTATATAACATATTTAAATTACACAAATGCTTTATTCTCAAATAATTAAAATTTAAGATGCTTATATAACTGATACTGAATTTCACTATTCATATTGAAAGCCATTTTGATAGTTCATAGTAAAAGAAATATGTAATAAAATAAAACATCCCTTGCTGAAGAAAAATGTGCATGGTTTTTGCAAAGCTAGTCTCATTAAGCTTTTAGAATATGGCAAGTAACCCACAGTGTGCAGGCCACATGTGACCTCTTAGTGCTTTTGTGGAGGTCCCAGATCTTTCCGTATTGCCCTATACCAAATAGTTATGCTCAGCCTCCATTGTCAGGACAAAGAGAGTAGGGCTTTCAAAAAAGTTCTGACAAAGTCTCTTATGAAATATATAACTGACAATTTGCTAAGATCTAGCCTGAATACTTACTGAGTGTGTTACATCAAGAAATGGCATTCATCATAGTTGTAGAATTCCTTCCATATCTAATTGTAATTGATGTGGAACCGTTTACTATCAACAAAAAGCATTTCTATTCATACAGAATTAACAGGTGTGGTTGTGTTATCTGTTTGCATTTAGTATTGCTGTTTTCTATCAGATGATTTTTAAGGAATGTTCTTTACATTCTTTAGAGGTTTGATTGATTGTTTTTAAAATTCCCCTCTCACCCCTGTGGGTGGTATGTGTCTTCCTCAATCTTGGGCCCCCTACCAGAGGCCTGGGAGTTTGAGGGTTCTGTGCCATATCTTAGCTGTTCTTGGCACTGCACGCTTCTGGACAGAGAGCTTTGATGTTCCTGAGATCTGTTGGAGCCACTCTGCCAGCTTAGGAGTCACAGCCCCGAGTGCTCTTAACTTTGCACTGGGGTTATGTGTCTTCTCTTTCTCCCATGTGTTCTTCCAGTACTGTTCAGTTTCTGCTTGTTGGTGGCTCTGCTGTTACTGTGTTGT